CTAGGAACCCAAGGCAAAAATAAATAGTAATATAAATAAATAAATAAGAGTAATTTGTGAATCAACAATAACAAGAATGTGATTTGTATACTTTAGATAGAGAGATAAAGTAGGTCAAATGTCATTGCTCAAAATCTCTCGTGGTTGTTTAGCCACTATTAGTTTATTGACTCCTAAAGGGATGTCTTAATATTGTCTATAGTTTCATTTTGATATTAATGAAAGATAATAACTAGCAGTGAAATCTAGAATGTTTATTTCATCCGATTTATGACTCTTCAGTTGAATTTACCTACATCGCAATGAGTGAATTTCTCATAAAAGTCTCCAACCCGGGAACAATCACCTCAATTGCCAGAGATTCATCTACCAGGCTAATAAGTTATGGTAGCCACTTTTTGTACGCTCACCAGCCCATAGGCCAATAAAGACCGATCTGTTCAGTCCAATCAACCACCATATCATATTACAAGCAACAACACTAATTTAGATCAAAACGTAGAAAACAAAAGTTGTGTAATATTAAAGCACGAAATAACCTCGCCTGGTTAACTAGTTTACTGGTTAAACCTAAGCCCAGAAGAAAAATCCAACCGTTACAGAAACTTCAAAGCACAAACAAAATATAAAAAATAAAAACAAAATCATTCCTCACTGGAATCGGAGAGACAAAACGACGCCGGTTGGTGAAAGCCTTCGCCAAGCCAATTCACCGATAGGTCTTCTCTCGATGAAACAGAAAGTAAGAATGGGGACATGGAATGTCCACACCATGTTTGAACCTACCAAGGAAGCCCAGACTGCAAAAGACATGAGAAGGTATAGCTTTGGGGTGCTAGGAATCTGCGAAAACAGATGCAATGGGAGTGGACTCTCCAAACTGTCAACTCGAGAATCAATTATCTACTCCGATATTGTCACCCACACGACAACCAACAGCACAGCACACCTAGTTTTCCAGTGGCTATCATGATGTTTCCAAGTACATCACAGGCTCTGATACAGTAGGAACCAATCTACTCCTCCAGGATAATAATAGCAACCTTCAACTCAAAAGGAAGGAAGGTCACAATCATACAATGCTACACACCCACAAATAATACAGAAACAGAGAAAAAGGAGGCATTTTAAAGACAACTGAAATCAACACTGAACAACACTTCACTTGGTGACATCAAAATCATAATGGACGACATGAATGACAAACTGCGATTGGTAAACACACGAAGAGAACTAACCATGGGTCGAGAAGTACTCGGTGAGGTGATGAACGAGAATGGAGAATTGTTTGCAGAACTCTGTGCATTCAACCATTTGGTGATTGCAGTGAGGCACTGTGTTCAAGCACAAGGATATCCACAAACCGAGTGACATCGATTTGATTTCACCAGATGGAGACACTTCACTAAAAATAAGATCGAATTTATCTCAATCTCAAGAAAGTGGAGACGCATCCTACTCGACACAAGGTCAAGAAGAGGAGCAGATGTAGGTGGTTCACACCACTCACTATCAAGTACAAGGAACCTTCCAAATCAAGTTGAAAGCCTTCAAAGAAGTTGGTGATAGACTACAGTTCAGGTATAACACTCAGAAACTGAAGGACAAAACTACAAAGCACATCTTCACCTCAGCCATCAAGACAAAATCGAAGATATCGAGGAACATCACTGAAGAAACCTGTATGGATGAACACAAGAACTCTTTGAAAGCTATGTGGAAAGAAACCTGCATAACCGTATAAGGAAGGAAGAAGAAGAAATAAGATAAGGAATGGATCTCGATGGACAAATGGAAGCTGATAGAGGAGAGGAGGGAGAGGAGGATGGTGATGGTGATGGTGAAGCAGAAGATAAACCAGTGCGAGGATGCACAGTGACAAGAGGAACTGAGTACAACCTATAAAAAACCACACTGGATAAAGAAGTGAAGAAGAGTGCACGCAAAGGCAAAAGACACTTCCACAACACACTGGCAAGTGAAGCAGAACAGGTTGCTGGTAGGAGAGACCTGACAACATTGTATCAAATAACCAGGTTACTATCTGGGAAGAGACCAATATAGCACAGATGAAAACAATAAAAGATAATGAGGGAAATTTAATTACGAAAGAAGAGAAATAAAGGAAACGATGGGTTGACCACTTCAAAACCTCTGGAATCCATCAACACCTGCAACTCACACGGAAATACCACCAACATCGGCAGAACTACAAGTGAACACAGGCCCTCGGACAAAAGTAGAAGTCCTGAATGCCAAAAACTGCTGAAATGTGGGAAAGTAGCAGGACAAGATGGAATCCGCCACGGGCACTGAGTGTAGAGGAAGAGACAACAGTGGACATGCTCACACCACACCACCATTGCAGAAGGTCTGGAAGGAAGGAAGGGAAGGTACCTGAAAATTGGAAGAAAGGCTACCTTATCAAACTCCCGAAGAAGGGAGACCTCAGTGTTTGCAAGAACTGACGACGAATCACTCTTCTGTCCACCCAAAGTAAGCAAAATATTAAGCCGCATCATCCCGGAGAGACTAAAGGATGCTTTGGGTTCAAAACTACAACCAGAACAGGCTGGCTGGCTGGCTGGCTGGCTAGCTGGCTGGCTGGCTTGAGGAAGCACAAATCATGTGTGCACCAAATTGCAACACCACTCCAGGCATCATCATATAACAGAGTATAGAATGACAGTCAACTGTACCTCTACCTCAACTTCATCAACTTTGAAACATTTATAAATCTCATTCAACAACTATATGAAGACACCACATGCCAAGTAATTCACAATGCGAAGCTCAGTGACACCTTTGAAGTGCAGTGAAGACAGGAGTAAGACAAGTCTGCCATCTACTATCAATCATCATATTCTTGATTGTGGTCGACTGGATCATGCAACAAACAGCTGTGAAAAGCGAGAAGATGGGCATACGCTGAGTGGACCAATGAAGAGATCCTAGGAGATTTGGATTTCGCGAGTGATAACTTGTGTCTAGTGTCACACAAACTTGAAGATGTAGAGACGAAAACAAACGAGTTGACAGAAAAGACAGAGCAGTGAAGACGGGACTTCAAGTGAACGTAGGGAAGACAGAGGTGATGAAGATACCTAACCAACGTCACCACCATCACCACCACCACCACCACCAACAACAACAACAACAAGCTGCAGTCACCATGATCGGGAGAAACTTAAAGGAAGTAGCCTCTTCCACCTATCTAGGCAGCACTGTTTCGATTACAGGCGGCACAGACGAAGATGTCAAAGTCAGCCAGGATTGGAAATACAGCAAGACAGGTGTTCGTTGGCCTGAAATCAGTGTGAAGATCTACTGCACTCACCATAAAGCGTGGACAAGATGCGGATTCTCAACACCAATCCAGTCAAGTCACTGTGTCCATGTGATGCTTCAGAGAGTTGAAGCGTTACAACAGGCATTTCCAACAAACTGCACACATTCATCAACAAGTGCCTACGCTGGCTTCATACTGAAGATCAGATGATCAGAAAGGATGAGGAAAAAGGAACTGTGGCTGGCTGGCTGGCTGTCAACGACCCAACTAAGCAAGAAGCTATCGCTCAACAAGTATGCAGTTGAAGTTAATGGAGATGGATTTGGCATACACTGAGAAAGCCTTCTGGGAACATCACGCGTCAGGCCAGGCCAGGCCATGCCGGGTCATCGAGTGGGACCCCTATGGGATGTGACTAGTTGTTCGTCTCAGATGAGGGTGACATGGAGGAGATCGTGTTTGGAAGAAATGAGAGGTTGTGGGTTACCGTGGCTCGAGGTTCAAAAGTTTGCAGATAAGAGAGTGGAATGAAGACGTGCTATTGAAGCCTTATGTTCCACTAGGAACCTAAGTGAAAAATAAATGATAATAATGACAATAGTAATAATAATAATAATCAAAGATAAAGTGTGTAGATAATCAAAGTCTGAAGAAATAAACATATCCGTGAAAGGGGTGAAGAAAGGTGAGGACAAGGATGATAATTGAATTTATCTTTGAAACTATTCATTAGATTTTTTCTGACTAAAACAGAGATAAAGGCTGTAAAAACACAAATACTAAATTTTGTTTTCTCTAATTCCTATGACTTCATCTATGTGAATTATATCCGAAAGATTACATAACCACTGTCTACTAAATTTTACAGAAATGTAGTTCGCATTGAATTCAGTTGTCCCTTTCTTATCCATAACGATGAGGGTTCAACAATGCGTTTGTTAATCTGTATAGTTGTACAGTTGCCTTATATAGCTTTCTTCACAGGAACAGTTGAACTAGTTAAATGCATACAGAAGTAACAGAACTAGCATAACTTGACCTCATATTACTGAGTTTTTAACAGTTGAATGAATAAAATTATTTGGTTGACGGTATCTTCTGATTGAGAACGTAGGTTTGAATGATACCATAGAATGCGTCTTACTAAGAAGTTTATTCAGAGTTTCTCTTATTATTTTTTGATAACGCTAAAGGAGTTTTGAATTCTCTTAGGCTCACTGAGATATGGATTAATTGAATGAAATAATAAAAAAATAATTTGTAATATTATTGTATACATCATTTGGTTCAGGGGCCTCTGATTCACTTCTCATCTATTTATGTATGATTTATAGATAGAACGGAAATAATTCCATACTGAATAAATTGTGGCGCATTGTGGTTAAGTAATTTAGTTGTGTGTATTACCGAGGAATCAGATAGCCTGAAATATGTAAGGACAACATAGGCACTAGACTTTGTATTCTGCTGTATATGGTTACAGGAAATGACCGAAATGCGTCTAACTCATAGGGTGGGTGAATTGAGTATGTGAGATATAGCGAGTAGATTAAAGACGAATCACTAGGATGGTCAGAGTTCAGAATCCTTCAAGATTCAACTAAGGCACATATACACACATACATATTCACTTGTGCACATCCATGCTGAATAGAAGATTATTTCTAGGTATTGTATGACTACTTAAAGTATCAACAGACAATATACTTACCAAACACGAAGCTTAATTCGTTCCGAGGCATTGTCACATTCACTAAAACATAAAATGGATAAACAAATAAATAAACGAAAACTTTAACAGCACACATTGGCTAAGATGAGATATAGAATAATCAATTTCTGAATGACTTAACAAATCCAACGGTCTGTATTGACATTCCTCAGCGCTGAGTAGTTTCTTTCAACTGCCAATTAACTGTGATGCCGGTCAGCAGGATTTCCGACGGAAGCAACCCACTCATAATAACAAGGTGTGATCCCTTACACATACGTGTTATGAACTATCGAAAAATATGAGTAGTTAAAAACTACTCACTCAGGCTGATCTGCAGTATTTCGCCGGGCAGCCAGATCAAAGTGACGTAAACAGTAAACAGCCGTTTCCGTTGTTAAGAGGTGTATCCGAACAAACTCACTTCATACATTTCAAGTTGGTATTCATCGTAGGCTGACATCAATTGGAGGAAGAATGGAAACCTCGAAATACTAAAGAGCTATTTCGTCTTAGTGTGGGACTCTTCAGCAGTGCGCACCCACTACCTCACAAGGGATCTTACCAGCGACATTCAGGTCCCATAGCCAGCACGTTACCATTGAGCTATCCGATGGGTTGGAATCCAGAAGTCAATATTTCCAACTTTTGTCAGTTCACGACGTTGCGCGACCGCCCCCCGATGTCATCGTTGAATGCTTGTCCTCACGATCACAAAATTTGCCCCACTGATCATGACTTCTCACTGGAACTTCGGGAATCATCTTTCGAAGCCAGCCACCAATGAGCACTAGTTGGAAATAAGGACTATTGGATTCTGACTCAGTGGTCCAACGGTAACGTGCTGACCACGGGACCTGAAGGTTGCGGGTTCGACCTCTGGCGGGTTGTGGGTGCGTACTGCTGAAAAGTTCCATACAAGGACGAAACAGCTGTACAATGCTCCGAGATTCCCATTCTTCCTCCAACTGAGGTCGGTCTGCGATGAATACCAACTTGAGATATCTCTAAATCCCCACAAATGCCCCAAATCCACTTCATACAGCCAAAATCACTTCACATCACCAGAATCTGACTGGCTAGCTGACTTCCATGGACCGGTATACCTCAAATAAGATTATTTATTTGTAGATGATTTACAAACTGAATGGTTTACTTTGACATTTCTCACAACTGATACTTGTAATTTCTCATTGTTATGCAGGGCCAAATTGCCCGACCCCTACTGTTTGCAGATGGGCTCCCTTGCGGATGCTGAATATCCATGTTGTTATTTTCATCTTGGCAACTACTAGACGAATTGCTACTCCTCAGCTAGAAGAACCTGCACGTCAGTGGGTGATGTTGTTCCCACTCACTGCACCAAACACAGAAGCGTTATTCACTATGGGGCACGATAGCCATAAATATCCAGGTGAGGAATTCGGTATAGGACGAAGTGCTCATCGTGAATTCTTATGCTTGTCATTAACAAGAATATAATGTTCAGCAGTATATTTGACCAAGGCATTATATTCTACTGCTCTATGGCGTGTAACACTATCGATTGTAGAATCTCATCTTGAAAACAACAATCGGTTAGCTTACATTTGAGTATCCGGGTTAGGTTATCAAAACTGAAAGAGTACATGTATTGCACAGATCGTTTAAACTATATATTGTTCATTGTTTATGGATAGTACATTTTAATGGAGAAGTGGAACTCCAGGCACAGATGGGACCTCCAGTTTAAAATAACATTCCTGCTGGATCACTCTGTTAACACCTCATAACGATTACTCAGTGTAGTCCTAGAACACTTCCAACTATCAGGTTTCAACGCATCCACATTCACCACGCAATCTGATCGTTTGACTGTGCTTACCTCCTCATGTGTAGATGTGCATGATTCTACATCATAAATGGTGAGATATTAAGTCATATGAACACTGGTCGAAATCCCTCCTTTGCAAGTTTTTTAAACGTAATGCAAGACAATGAGATACACATGAGATGATGTTATTTTTACTTTGACAGTAATTGATCTGCATACAAATGGGTGAACAGATTTTGAAAGGTAGTGAATAGGCTGCTCGTTCAACTTGTTTCACTTAGACAAATGTCATGTCATTTATGATGACATCAAATTGATCACCATCAGATTTCATCTTCATTAAGCACAATCATATGCCAAATTTTCTAGAAGTTCGACCATGTTACCTGTAATCAATTAAAGCTGTAGATGGAAGCTTCTACTCTGTTCGATAGAATAATCTGCTATGTATCTTATCAACTTCTGATCGATTCCTTTCCCCATCAAGTACACATTCCTCACATTTGAGGTAGATTGGGGAAGATAAACACCTTGTATGCATAGGATATAAAGCTCCAGCCTGACTGGTTGCATATACTCTGTCGAAACAGAAGGAATCAAGCACACATTTGACCTAGACAGTTAGATTATGAACTGAATACCAGCTGTTTAGGTATTGTCTTAACCTATTCTAATTGGCAGATGGGTTAGGACTCAGAAATGTCAATACTTGCTAGTTTGATCATATGCTTGTCAGGCTACTGAGCTAAAAAAGTCAGGTATTCAATTTTATTATAAAAATTAATCTTTTTTGGTAAGTTAACTGCTTGCTGTTAACTAACTTTCATTAATTTTCCGATTTATTCTTGCTATTGGGAACTGTTTGATAATAAAGTAAATCCAACACTTCACTTAAGAAGGAATCTGACTCAGTCTAGTGTAAACATCATAGAAATGCAAACCAGAATGATAATAATAATAATGGCCTTATTCCGAAAGATACTTTGGCATATGCTAACTTGCATCATCTGTGGCGCTGACTCGCGAGATAATCGACTACCTATCAAACGACTACTAAACTACGCTACAGTATATTCTGTTTTGTTATACGGCTGTGAGATATAGCCGTTAAAAGTAGAAGTGATGAAGCGGTTACACACTTTTAAACATAAGTGTCTCGCTAGCTTCTCTCACATATGCCAGGATCAACAATTCAGCAATGTTGTGGTCAGGTGAAGAGTACTAGACAAGACAGGCAAGTCAGTTGGTGAGGTTGTTAACTTAGATGCTTTCCACCTGTTGTGCATGTCTAGTCACCACCAACTACCTTGATGTTCCATGCTTGAGGAAGAAGTATTAGCTTGAAAGAAGGTTCATGGTAGCCAGATCAAGACATGGCATCAGTTGTTGAAGCCTCTGACTGTTAGTCTGAGATATGTAAAGAGATGTAGACTAGTTGGAACCAATTGTCTAGGACTCTTGGTGACATGGTGATATCAAAAATAAGATATCTAACTAAGAGGACTGTATTCAAGCTTCCAATTATTCAACCAATCACTGACAACGATCTCAAGGTTGTTAATCAAATTTCTTTAAACTCTTTACACTTTCTGCTTCTTCAACTTGTAAATATATTAAATGCTATACATGAACTGAAGTTCGCCTGATCTTTGCCAATAAAGGAAGTCCATACATTCTTGTCTCTTTGTGCTTTGAAGTTTCTTTAGCGGTTAGAAGCAAGAAAGGCCTCCATTGATTAATCTGAAATCAGTGTGGAGATCTACTGCACTCCGCATAAAGCGTGAAAAAGATCCAGATTTTCAACACTAATGTTAGTTAATAACTCAGTGCTTCTATGTAACCATTCAGAAACGGCGTGTTATGAAAAGTATTTTCAACAAACTACAGACCTTCATCAACAGCTGTCACCTACGCTCACTGGATTCTGAAGATCAGATGACCAGAATAATAACAATAAGCAAGAAGGAACACTGATAATGAACCAACGAAGCAAGGATCCATCGCTGAACAAATATGCAGAAGAAGAGAGTGGAGATGGACTGGGCATACGCTGAGAAGACCATTCGGGGACATCACATGTCAGACAAGGCCCTCGAGTGGAATCCAAATAGGAAACGATGAGTTGGGCATCCGAAAGTGACACGGAGGAGATCGTGTGAGGAAGAAATGAGAGCTTGTGGGCAGTCATGGAATCAGGTTGAAAAGACTGGAGAGAAGAGATTGAAATGGTGACATACTACTGAATCCCCATGTTGCACTAGGAACCCAAGGGATAAATAATGATAGCAAATAATAATACAGTCTTGTCTCTACCTTGAACTTAGTTTTGTTTATGTTAGATTCCTTTTGTTTTTGATTTCTCTCTTTATTACGTTAATCTTTATGCTGATAAATTATCATTATCAAAATTAGTGTTTTTACATATCATTGTTTCCGGTGTTACTCTTCATTTCACCACAGTTCGATCTCTGGCGGGGTCATGGGTGCGTAATTCTAAAGAGTTGTGTACCAGGGCGAAACAGATGTTCAGTGCTCCCAAGTTTTCAATATTGCTTCAACTGATTTCATTCAATGGTGAATATTAACGTGAAATCAATCAATCCCCACAAACCCTTAAATTGAATCATTTAATCATGGCAAAAATTGCAACAAAACGTTTTCAATTTATCCTAATTAACTTATTGTCTCACTACATATTACGTAATCTCTTGGATTATTTATTAACTCTACCATGTTTTTTCGCCGTTTTTTTAATGTATATGCTATCGTATAAATGATTTAAAAAGTCTTATGTAACTTCTTATTGGTTATCATTCAGATTTTACGTCATCAACTAGCAACATTATTGTCATCTCAGACGACCATTACTTACTCATGGATAATAGCCCAAATATATATCATAAACCTCAGGCTACTTTAATGTATACTGCTCATTACTGATATACTTCACGATGGATAACCTTAAGTTCAAATGAGAAGTTTTGACCGAGTAGGGTAAGTGGATACTATCTGAAGATTTTAGTGACTAGTTGTGCTATATTGTGAATCAAGAGAAACTGGAAACTGTGAACCATTGAATACCGACTCATTCCCCGAATGATTAACGCTTTCATCGGGTTCTTGATGGTACAAGAATGTGTATGCACAGTGCTGAGGAGTCCCATACTAGGACGAAACAGCTGTATAATGTTACAGGGTTTCTAATGGTTCTCTAAGTGATGTAAGTAGAAGATGGTGAAACTTACCTCAAAATTAAAACCATCATAGACATCAAATTACATCATATATATATACGAATATAGAGCTTAAGAATTAATTCATTGAAATGTATCCTGTTTGTTGAAAATCTTGCTTTTAACAATCAAAAAGAGACGATGAAATTTCTCTTATACACTGAAAAACAGCTATGTCGATTTCAGAAGAATCAAAAACTTTTTAAATTTATCATGGTACTGAATGCAATTACACACATATCTTTCATAAATAGTTTGGTCTATCTGACACCTACCACCATGTAACAGAAGAACCGAAATACCACGATCTTTGTTGTGATTCATATGAGTGTAGCAAATGATTTACAAATTACACGGTACACTATGACATTTCTAACAGTTGAGAATACTTTTTCACGTGAAACTCAACTCTCATGTCAGCAAAAAGTCCATTAAGAAATGTCAAAATGGATTGTATAATTTATAAATCATCCTAAATGAAATAACACAGGCTGATGACAGTAATCTTTACACTGAACAACCATTTCACTCGTTTGACACTGCATTCATCAGCTATGTACCCGCAATATTATTATTTATTATTACTATTATTATTAGTCCCTTGGGTTCCTAATGGAACATAGGGCTTCAGTAGCACGTCTCCACTGAAGTCTGTTCTCGGAAATCTTTTCAACCTGGTTTCACGATAGCCCACAAGCTCTCATTTCCTTCTCGCACACCATCTCCTCAATGTCACCCTCGGACGTCCAACTGGTCGCTTCCCATGGAAATTCCACTCGAGCAACTGGCCTGACGCGTGATGTCCCCAGTCGGCCTTCTCAGTGCATGCCCAATCCACCTCCATTTCCTCCCGCATATTTGTTGAGCGATACGTTCTTGGTTGGTTCGTTCCCAGAACTCCTTGTTGCTTATTCTTTCTGGCCGTCTGAGCTTCAGTAGCGAGCGTAAGCAGTTGTTGATAAATGTCTGTGGTTTGTTGGAAATCCCTTTCGTAACGCGCCAAGTCTCTGAACCATAAGGAGCACTGACTTGACATTGGTGTCAAAAATCCGGATCTTGTCCTCGGAATAAGTTAACAAAAAATAGAGTCAAACCGGTTCCTATTGCTTTGAACTACTCAACTTGTTTAGTAGTAGTATCTTCCGACTAACAAACATGTTATATCAAAAGATTGATTGATATCTTATTCATTCACAATTAACAAAATTGTTCTTCTTCTCTCTTTCTCTTTGCAACTATAATTTATAAACTTACAAAAGAAATTTTTCATCCCATGTTGGATTTAATTCTTGTAGAACAGTTTTTGTACGTTTACGAACTTTACCCACTTGTACTGTCACATAGGGATCACTTCGTCCAGTTTTATCTTTACCAATTAAACCTTGTGCAGATTTAACTTGATAATGGTGATAGCACCAAATAATAAAAACAATAAGAGAGGAAATAAAATGTCAAATTGGGATTAGTTGATATTCAAAGCAGAAAAAAAGTGAAGGTAATTAGTATTACACTGACTTCTATTCACGTGAGAATTATGATTATAATTCAAGATAAAATGGCATTTGTTCACAGTGAATTTTTCCATGAGCTAGAGTATTAGCTTGTATACTTCCCAAGTCAGTGATGTAGTAACGAGTCGTAAGCATTCATTCAGGAAAAGTAAGTATTCTCCAGTGGCAATTTGCCTTCAAGCAAAGATCCCCTATTGTCGAACATGTCAAAGCACTTGAAGCTCAAAAATAATCCAGAAACTGTTTCAAAATATTGGTCACTTTAAGCTACAAACATTCACCACAATTTCTAAGACGATATTTTCGAAATGATTCTTATCGTGAACCATAGCACCCTCCCCGCTTCCTTTTTATTGGCGATAATAACAACCTTAGGATTATTGCTTGTATTATACTGTTGTTGATTGGATACAATTGATTAGTCTCTATTGGCATATGGGCTCTCTTGCGAACCCCTCGATATTGCCTGTGTTTTTAATTATGTAGTAATGATGGATAGTGTCTAGCAGTGGAATCCAAGATCTACATTTCGTCCCATCTAAGACTCGTCACCTGGATGTACCTGCCTCCCAGTGGGTCATGTTGTTCCCACCAGAATTCAGACTCCAAACCTATCGCTTCAAATGCCAGAGCGTTATCCACTACACTACAGAGATGCGGCAGCCACTCGTTGTGCAACGAGTATATTTTAGTTTCATTGCGATGACATTATTAACGACAACATAGTACAAGCAATAACACTCAAACTGTAACCGTCGCACAAGAAGTTGCTATTGTGGCTTCATGTTATAGTGAATACCGCTCTGTCGTTTGAAGCGATCGGTCCTGATTTCCAACCCCGGTTGGAACAACATCACTCACTTTGAGGCAAGTACATCCAGCAGACGAGTCCCGAATGCGATAAAACAAGCATCCTGGATTCCACTGCTCGACACTATCCATCATTATGATAATAATTACCACTTGAATGTCAAGACACAATGAATCAGTCAAATTTTATCGATGTAAATCAACATTTTGAGTCATCAGCCACTAACAGACAAGTCTGACGTTTCAGTTTTTTCCTTCTTGTTGCTGTGTGGTCACGAAAATCTTTGTTGGACATTTTCGTCGTACGCTTGACCAATCAGAATTAACCATATAACTTCCGAACTCATGGTTAGATATAATGATAGAAACTGTGTATGAATGAAGCATTGGATTCCGACCCACTTCCTCAATGATAACGTACTAGCCGGAGAACATGAAGGCTCCGGGTTCCATCGTTGGCTGGTTCGTGTTGTGAATGTTCACTGGTGAGGAGTCCCATACTGAAGCGAAAGACGTATGCACTCCTCCCATGTTTCCAATGGTTCTCGAAACCATGTCCCTCAGTGAAAGAACCAACTTGATAGGTTAAAAACAGCTGACACGATGGTATAGAGATTTTGAATGAAGTGTAATAAATGACGTGTGTAGAATGAGAAATGATTCATTTCACTTTGCAGTTCTATTCCACAAAGCAAGAGAGAGAGACAGACAAAGAGAGAGAGGGAGAGTATAAACTATTTTTCAACTGGCATTTTGTCCACAGCAAGGAAGTGTGATTAACTTCTCTCTACCCTAGTAAACACTTGTACATCAATCTCGATTACATCATCGCTATTCATTCCTTACATCGTTGAATTTATTCCCAGCCCAATCTGTCAACACTATCTCAACATTCAATTTGAGGTCTTTTGTTATTCACTTTGGAGGTTTGTAGGGAGAGACGTCGTAACTGGTGGGGTAAACCAGGTGGGAGATGAGGATAGACACTCGAAGGGCAGCATCGGATGAAGATAGTACTATGTTGTAAATTTACAGAAGTAAGAAAAAGAGGGAAATTCAGGCGATAGTAACTTGCTTGATGTGGAAGCTAAATCTGGTTGGCGGGATCATGGAGGTCTCTTATCCTGGGGTGAAACAGCTGTCCGGTGTTCCCAGGTGATTCAGTAGTTCTCCAACTGATGTCATCTCAAGCTGAAACCAATTAATAAATCACTACAAACCTCAAAACTGACTAATTCGTTGTTCGATGGATTCGGTTACTGAAGTGAAATTGGGTCAAGTAACTGAAGCATACATGAAACATGCGATTTAATCTATACTGCTTCATGAGTATAAGTTAATGTCAAATTAAAAAATAACTTTTGTATTACAAAAGAATGAAAAAAGCCATAATGAACTCATATGTTCACTTTATGGAGTATTTGTTTAATGTGAACTATTAATTTTCGACATAATGGCCCCAAGAATTGAAGACCTCGAATGCTTTGAAACGACCGTAAACCGTAAACATCAATAAACTAAACCCGTTCCTTTATGATGTAAAACCGGCTTGCCTCATGAAATGATGTGAATATGGACAACTACTGATAATTGGAACCTATTGGACAGTTTTTTACTTATTGTCTCGGACTTCTGAATTGATTCTCCATTCCTGTAACGGACAAAAAGACGTTTAAGGAAGTTGCCATCTGATAGTATAATACGTGGTGCTCGCGAAGAATAATCTATCTCAACATTTTTTCTGACGTTCTAAGTGAGATTTTTGGTAGGAGTGAATTTGTAGTAATGATGAATAGTGGTTAGCAATGGAATTCAAGATGTGCATTTCGTCCTATTTGCGACTCATTAGCTGGATGTACCTGCCTCCACCGGCATTCAAACTAGACACCGATCACTTCGGTGTCGTTTCGGGAATCTCATCTTGAAGCGATAGGTATTAAAGAGGAATTCATTCTGGAGGTATGTTGGGATTTATTTATACCTGACTGATATTGGTATTTTTAAGCAGTTAATTACTGCGACTCATTCAACAGCTATATGCTATATTATACTACTTGCCAAGTGATTCACAATGGACAGCTCAATAATGCTTTTGAAGTGAAGACAGGTTGACAGGTAAGACAAAGTTACCTATTATCACCGATCACCTTCCTGATTGTGGTCGATTCAACTGGATCATACAACAAACCGTGAGGAGCGAGAAGATGGAGAAACGCTGGACCGATGAAAACACCACAGGACATTTATATTTTCCCAATGCTGATTTATGTCTAATGTCGCACAAGATCGAAGACATACAGGCAAAAACCAACAAGTTGTCAGAAGAGGCAGCTAACACGCTACTTCAAGCGGACGTAGAGAAGACAGAGGTGATGAAGATACCCAACCACCAACAACAACAACAACGATGAGAAGCGCCAATCATCATCAATGAAAGAAACCTACAGGCAGTAGTCTCTTTTACCCACCCACATAGGCAGCATCGTCACAAATACAGGCGGCACAGACGAGGACGTCAAAGTCAGCATAAGAAAAACAGCAAGACAGGCCTTCATGAATTGACCCGAAATCATTGTGGAGACCTACTGCACTCCGCATAAAGCGTGAACAAGATCCAGATTTTCATCACTAATGCTAGTCAAGTCACTGCTTCTATGTAATGGTTGAGAGACTTGGAGCCTTACAAAAAGCATTTTCAACAAACTACAACTACTTCGCCCAGTTCTTAAACTCATTTAATGGGATCATATCATTGTGAAACGATAACGTTTGATTACACACAAGGTATTCAATCGTTTAAGTAAAGTCAGATATTTGGTTTCTATTGTCAACTAAAATTCCTTATTTTTCGACGAAATTTACCTAATCCGATGATAATTATCATTGGAAACCAGTTTATTAGGGAAATTCGTAAAATTATCAGGAAATTACTGTGCAGGTGACCTTCCCCCTGTCCCCAACTTCATATTCATCTTACCAGAAAGTACACCTACATCTTTCCTCAACAGTATTTTACGCGATTGAATCATAAAACACCAGACCTAATAACTCAGTAAAGTATAAATAATATCATTTATTATTCGTCTCATAGGTTCCTAGTGGAACATAAGGCTTCAATAGCACGTCTTCATTCCACTCTCTTATCTGCAAACTTTTGAACCTCGAGTCACGGTAACCCACAACCTCTCATTTCTTCCAAACACGATCTCCTCCATGTCACCCTCATCTGAGACGAACAACTCGTCACATCCCATAGGGATCCCACTCGATGACCCGGCATGGCCTGGCCTGATGCGTGATGTCCCCAGTAGGCCTTCTCAGTATATGCCAAATCCATCTACACTAACTTCAACTGCATGCTTGTTGAGCGATAAATTCTTGCTTCGTTGGGTCGTTGACAGCCAGCCAGCCAGCCAGCCAGCCAGCCAGCCAGCCAGCCAGCCAGCCAGCCAGCCAGCCAGCCAGCCAGCCAGCCAGCCAGCCAGCCAGCCAGCCAGCCAGCCAGCCAGCCAGCCAGCCACAGTTCCTTTTTCCTCATCCTTTCTGATCATCTAATCTTCAGTATGAAGCCAACGTAGGCACTTGTTGATCAATGTGTGCAGTTTGCTGGAAATGCCTGTTGTAAGGTGTCAACTCTCTGAAACATCACATGGACACAGTGACTTGACTGGATTGGTGTTGAGAATCCGCATCTTGTCCACGCTTTATGGTGAGTGCAGTAGATCTCCACACTGATTCCAGGCCAACGAACACCTGTCTTGCTGTATTTCCAATCCTGGCTGACTTTGACATCTTCGTCTGTGCCGCCTGTAATCGAAACAGTGCTGCCTAGATAGGTGGAAGAGGCTACTTCCTTTAAGTTTCTCCCGATCATGGTGACTGCAGCTTGTTGTTGTTGTTGTTGGTGGTGGTGGTGGCGGCGGCGTTGGTTAGGTATCTTCATCACCTCTGTCTTCCCTACGTTCACTTGAAGTCCCGTCTTCACTGCTCTGTCTTTTCTGTCAACTCGTTTGTTTTCGCCTCTACATCTTCAAGTTTGTGTGACACTAGACACAAGTTATCACTCGCGAAATCCAAATCTCCTAGGTTCTCTTCATTGGTCCACTCAGCGTGTGCCCATCTTCTCGCTCTTCACAGCTGTTTGTTGCATGATCCAGTCGACCACAATCAAGAATATGATGATTGATAGTAGATGGCAGACTTGTCTTACTCCTGTCTTCACTGCACTTCAAAGGTGTCACTGAGCTTCGCATTGTGAATTACTTGGCATGTGGCGTCTTCATATAGTTGTTGAGTGAGGCTGATGGAGGTTTGTGGTATTCGGTAGTATTGAAGCAGCTGCCAAATTACATCTCGGTCGACGCTGTCGAAGGCCGGCGTTTTCAAAGTTGATGAAGTTGAGGTAGAGGTACAGTTGACTGTCATTCTATACTGTGTTCTATGATGATGTATGGAGTGACGTTGCAATTTGGTGCACACATGATTTGTGCTTCCTCAAGCCAGCCAGCCAGCCAGCCATTCTGTTGTGGTTGTAGTTTTGAATCCAGAGCATCCTTTAGTCTCTGTAGGATGATGCGGCAGGAAAGTATGTAAACCATTCTTAATTATAACCAATCTAGAAACGTTTAATTCAGATTCCGCATCGGTTTCTTCATAATAAATAGTAAAACAGTTTTCTTTTAAGTACAATTAACACGTTATAATTCTTACCTGTTATAGCAATTTTAGCTGACCATTGACTAGCACCGGCTACAATACTTTTTTGAGCAAATTCTAAAGCATTCAAGTGTATATTAGAATGAACATCAATTTGAAAAACATTTGCTAAAAATTCAAATATATCTGATCTTTCAGTTATACGTCGTTGAATTAAGGCATGAATTGCTTCCATTGCAGCTTGAGCTTTATCGACAGCACCATGACGTAAAGATTTCTCAGCAGCTCCTGTTCATAATGAAAAGAAAGAAAAAGTTAAGTCATAATTGTTATTCAGGGAAAAGGAAAATTCAAACAGCGGCCGCTATCGAGTTCCCATCCCAGTAGCTTATCAATTGAGGTATGAGGCTCAGCTGTCGAGCAGATTTTTATTATTTCAGTTACCATGAGTTTTACCGGACGACTTTCATACTTCCGCCTGATTATATATACTCATACTGGCTGGCAATGCAGGACTTCTCATTCCAACCCAAATCTAAGTGAATTAGAGACAGGGGAGCATCAAATTGATTATCCTTTTGACTATGTAAGATAGCATCCGTGGTTTGAAAGACTAGTACTGATACCGAGTTTCTGGACCAGTGGTAGCCGGTTCAAGTCCAGTTATGATCTTAATTCTCATTACACCTTCAATTATCATCATCCAATATCAGTACTAGACTGTCAAACCATGTCTACTATCTCAGATAGTCAAAATGAAATTTTATATAAAACAAGAAAGATAACATCATTATTTCATTTCATGAATACTCTTTCCTAGTCAGCTATAGGCCTGGTGTAGTCAAAACACTTTATGTGACAGCTTGGAAATTAAGTTCTACGAACAAGTTAGAGGAAGCACTAAACATGATTGTCAAGTGTCTTCAAGAGAACGGATAACCTAAGAGATTTATTATGAAATATAGAAAAGAAAAGATTGAGAGGAATAAATATCTAACTGTGGAGAAGAAGAAGAAGGATTTTATTAGTCTTACATTTAAAAGAGATACAATATCCAAGAGAATAGACGCAAGAATCAAAGACGCACAGAGAAAGAGTTTTCCTTCAGCTGGACTTTTATCACTATGTAATATTATATGCTGGCTAAACTACTCAAAACTGAATAATTACGATATTCATGTCACTCTCAGTTATCTTTATGGATTCACGTACATTTATGGTAGCAAGTATATTGAAAAAACTGAAAGTAAGGCTTTTATTTGATTCGCTGAGTATATTTCAAAGTATCTATACTTGAAAGGAAGTGAAATTCTAAAACGTCTACCTGCTAGACACCTCGTAGACACATAACACGAGGTTGAAATTTTCAGTGATGTTAACATGATAACTGAACATAAAGTGTCTAGATTACTTCGATTTGCGGAAGTGATTGCAATAAATCACTTTCAAAGTGACTTTTGTATACAACATGAGGTAAATTACGTTGCTCAGCCAATAGAGTACGCGGTAGATAATTTGGAGGTCAATAATTCAAATCTTGTCGTAATTCAAGTTCTCATTTGTCCCGTACATATCTACATTACAAACTACTGTCAATTGAAAAGATGTTGTAAACTGAACAACATTAAGCGGATATTATGTTCACGTTTTCAGCTGTATAGTCTCTTCCTAATACGGGATCGAGCTTAACACATATAGGTTTCACTACTAATAATCCATACACGTAGAATAAACACAAGTATTCAGTGCTTATTGACTTTTCACGGGTGCATAACTCAATGTCTTGGTGATTTTTCTATCCAAGATTAATCATGCTGGTTATTTTCATCTGTCAACAAAAAGGTAGGATAGTCAGTGTGTGTGTGCGTGTTTAGGCATGTTGTAAAATGTGTTGTTCCTTATATGTTTATATCTTTATAAACTGTCAGTAATTATCATACTATTCGGAGGATTGTATAGATTTATTAATTCATTTTAAGTGGCAATTGAACATGCAGTGATAAACCAGTTGGAGAGGACTGGAAACCTAGGAAAGATGAACGGCTAGATGTCTCGTCCTAGAATGCCACTTCTCAACAGTCCGCACCTGCGACCCCGCTTCTCCCCACCAGGCATCGAACCAAGCACCTTCACGTTCCGTGATCAACACCACGTTACCATTGAACCAGTGGGTTGGAATACAATGGTCTGTATTACCTCCAAGCCTCCAAACTCAACAAATATAGTAATTATTGGTCACCAGCTTCGAGATGTGATTCACGAAGTTCCAATCAGAAATCACTGGGGGTACGGCCAACCAAGTCGAACATGAGAACAGTTACTCAATGAAAACATTGCATATAGGTCACGCCATATCACGAACTGATAGAATTAGGAAATATGGACGACTGGATTGTGACAGAATGGCTCAACGGCAAGGTGCTAATGGTCACGAAACCTGAATTTGTTGGGTGCGGTGGAGTGTGATCATCGGTACACACTGCTGTGGAGTACAACACTAAGACGAAACAGTCAGCTGTCCAGTGCACTGAAGTCTTCAATCTTCTTCCAAATGGCATATCAGTCAGTCTATGAGGAATTCGAACCTAAACTAACAGTCACTGTAATTGTAGCTTATCAGTTGGAAAAGGTTTGTCGGAATAAAACTTGTTAAATACGTGCCAAGTCTATTTCTTCTTTTCTGTTTATAACACTAAATGTTGTTAAAATATACAGTTCCTTGAAGGTTAGTCTTTCGTTATGTTAATGGAAACCTTTTCCGAACATGTCTACATTCTTATAGTCAATTTATCTTCATTACTCGATGTTCATTTATGCATAACATTTACCAGTCTACAAATTACTCCAACATAATTTGCTTCATATATGAGAAATATTGAATTATGTAGACACAGTTATTCTAAATCATCTTCAGAATTGTATCTTTTCTAATCAATTTCACGACTGCAAACAGACTTCAATATCATCCAAACCGCATACCCTTCTAATCTCTTCACAAGTATCTTTCCGATATTGATATCGTCATAGATGACGTTCATTATTTTGTCGCATCTTTTTTTACTGTAAGTAGCAGTAATTACTATTTAATTCATTTGATCGATAATCTGATTTAAGAATATTTTAGACTATCCATTTTTTCATTATCCCCACCTGGTTAACCAGTACACTAGTTACTAACCGGTCCTAAGCCCGGGTAAAGAGGGAAGGTTGGGCATAGGGCTAGCAACCCTACCCCGTAAGACATATCCAACCGCTAAAAAAACTTCAAAACACAAACAAAATATAAAAAATAATAACATAATCATTCCACGCTGGAATCGGAAAGACAAAACGACGCCGGTTGGTGAAAGCCATCGCCAAGCCAATTGGCCGATAGCTCTTCTCTCAATGAAACAGAAAGTAAGAATGGGGACATGAAATGTCCACACCATGTTTGAACCTACCAAGGCAGCCCATATTGCAAAAGACATGAAGAGGTATCATATTGAAATGCTAGGAATTTGCGAAAACAGATGCAATGGGAGTGGACTCTCCAAACTGTCAACTCGAGAATCAATAATCTACTCCGATATAGTCACCCACACGACAACCAACAGCACAGCACACTGAGTTTTCCAGTGGTTATCATGATGTCCCCCTCACAAGAGCATCGGAGGCTCTCTTTCATGCAGTGGGAACTAATCTACTCCTCCAGGATAATAATAGCAACCTTCAACTCAAAAGGAAGGAAGGTCACAATCATACAATGCTACACACCCACAAATAATACAGAAAAAGAGAAAAAGGAGGCATTTTAAAGACAACTGAAATCAACACTGAACAACACTTCACTTGGTGACATCAAAATCATAATGGACGACATGAATAACGAACTGGGAGCGGTAAACACACGAAGAGAACTAACCATGGGTCGAGAAGTACTCGGTGAGGTGATGAACGCGAATGGAGAATTGTTTGCAGAACTCTGTGCATTCAACCATTTGGTGATTGCAGTGAGGCACTGTGTTCAAGCACAAGCATATCCACAAACCGAGTGACATCGATTTGATTTCACCAGATGGAGAAACTTCACTAAAAATCAGATCGAATTTATCTCAGTCTCAAGAAAGTGGAGATGCAGCCTACTCGACACAAGGTCAAGAAGAGGAGCAGATGTAGGTTCACATCACTCACTATCAAGTGCAAGAAACCTTCCAAATCAAGTCGAAAGCCTTCGAAGAAGTTGGTGATGATAGAACACAGTTCAAGTATAACACTCAGAAACTGAAGGACAAAAATACAAAAAAACATCTCCACGTCAGCCATCAAGACAAAATGGGGGATATCGAGGAACATCACTGAAGAAACCTGTGTGGATGAACACAAGAACTCTTTGAAAGCTATGTGGAAAGAAACCTGTATAACCGTATTAGGAACGAAGAAGAAATAGAGTAAGGAATGAATCTCAATGGATGCATGGAAGCTGATAGAGGAGAGGAGGGAGAGGAGGATGGTGATGGTGAAGCAGAAGATAAACCAGTGCAACGATGCTCAACGACAAGAGGAACTGAGTACAACCTATAAAAAACTACACTGGATAAGGAAGTGAAGAAGAGTGCACGCAAAGACAAAAGACACTTCCACGACACACTGGCAAATGAAGCAGAACAGGCTGCCTGCTGGTAGGAGAGAAATGACAACATTGTATCAAATAACCAGGTTACTATCTGGGAAGAGATCAACATAGCACAGATGAAAACAATTAAAGGTGATGAGGGAGATTTAATTACGAAGGAAGAGAAAGAAAGGAAACGATGGGTTGACCACTTCAAAACCTCTGGAATCGATCAACACCTGCACTTCGTTCGGAAATACCACCTGCAGCCCAGCAACAGAACTACAAGTGAACGACAATCCTCAAACAAAAGTCGAAGTCCTGAGCGCCATAAAGCTATTGAAATGTGGGAAAGTAGCAGGACAAGATGGAATCCGCCACGAGCACTGAGTGTAGAGGCAGAAACAACAGCGGACATGCTCACACCACACCACCATTGCAGAAGGTCTGGATGGAAGGAAAGGAAGGTACCTGAAAATTGGAAGAAAAGCTACCTTATCAAACTCCCGAAGAAGGGAGACCTCAGTGTTTGCAAGAAGTGACGACGAATCACTCTCCTGTCCACCCAAAGCAAGCTAAATATTAAGCCGCATCATCTCGGAGAGAATAAAGGATGCTCTGGATTCAAAACTACAACCACAACAGAATGGCTGGCTGGCTGGCTGGCTTGAGGAAGCACAAATCATGTGTGCAC